ATGCATCTGAAGCAGAAGGAAAGATGCATCTCCAACAGAAGGGAAGGACAAGGGGGCTGCCACTGCTGCCTCTTGGCAACTGCTGCCGGAGGCACTTTTCTTACTTTGCCTAATATGTTAATTTAGGAAGTGTTATTACCTTTGGTTTTAAAGGCTACTGCTTCTGTATCACATGAAAAAGGAAACAGCTCCCATTTCCATCCCACGAAAGCCAAAGAGTTGGGAAGGATGGGCATATTCTCTCCCCCCCCCCCCAGTGAATCATAACCTCAAATAAGAGGAATTCCTTGGCTATGAATTAATTCTACAGAGTACTTACCATCATGGATAATCCTGCCTCAATCTGTACAAATGGTTAGGAGGACTCCTCCCCCACCTTCATCGTTAATACTGAACAGATGTCAAGGAATCCAGAAGAACTTTTTCAGGCATTGCTTCTGCATAGCCTCCTCACTGCTCCACAAAGGGTATCTTGCAATGGTGCCTCCAAAATTACCTCCAGGCAATCGCTCTCAAAGACCAGGTATGTTCAATTAAATGGAGCGAATGTGTTCCAAACTCCTCGAGCGGACTATCTGGTGCATCAAAAGGTAACAAAATCCCTTCCCATTTTGCCTTTCCTTCCCCATTCCTCCTCCTCTTCCCCCGCTTCTTCTCTGCCAGATGAGGCCCTTTTGTTCTGTTCCCTATCGCATGGAGATTAAAGTACTGATCTTCTCTTTGAAAATGATGTCACTTTATTTATTTATTTTTTTGCCTTGGCACAGAGAGAAAGTTCATTACAAATCTGCACTGTGACTGATGGCTTTGAACAGATACGGGTGGATAAGGTGATGGGGAGAACCACACATCCAGGCAAATGGTATAGAACTCAAAAGAGACAAGCTGACAGTTCAGTTGGCAATAGGAAAGATGGAAGGAATGAGGAGGAAATGCATGTTTGGGGGTAAAAACTGTATATATCTCTCCCACAATCTCAAGTGCAGCCATAGAAGAGTTTGGCTTTATTGTCTTGGCAGTTTTTGTTTTGAATCATGGCTTAGGGATCACTTGAGAGTTCACCACAGCTGGGCCAGACACCTCCAATTATCGTATTCTGCACAGATCAGGACAGAGGTATGCATCAGCGAATTTCTTCTTAATAATTGCTTTATTTACAGATTTATAAGCCACACTTCTGTTACATATTAAGCAGAGCACAAAATATTTTTAAAAATCAACAAAAAATATTCATAAAAAATGTAATTAAAAACATCAGTAAAATACTGCTTGGATGAATAGAATATTCATCTTGTCCAGGGCTGTCCAAAGGGGGAAAGTATGGGGGGGGGAATCTGAATGAAGGGAGGGACGGTTACCACTGAATCGCTCATGATAGGGAGTTCAACAGGGAATAACCTGTCACACCAAATGTTTGGTTCTTTGTGATGGCCAACCAAACCCCAGGGACATGGGGAGCCACCAGAAGTGCCCCATCTGAGGATCTCAGTGATCAAAGTGGAGTATAAGGAACATTGTTAGAGGCTGGAAAAATAATTTGCTATGGAACAGGTTCATTGAGTGGCACTTCATCGGGGCATCATGATGATTAGCACTTGAAGAGTCTCAGGAAATATATAGGCATGACTATATAGGCACGCGGGTGGTGCTAGGGACACAAGTGGCGCTGTGGGTTAAACCACAGAGCCTAGGACTTGCTGATCAGAAGGTCGGCGGTTCGAATCCCTGCCACGGGGTGAGCTCCCATTGCTCGGTCCCTGTTCCTGCCAACCTAGCAGTTCGAAAGCATGTCAAAGTGCAAGTAGATAAATAGGTACCACTCCGGCGGGAAGGTAAATGGTGTTTCCATGCGCTGCTCTGGTTCGCCAGAAGTGGCTTAGTCATGCTGGCCACATGACCCGGAAGCTGTACGCCGGCTCCCTCGGCCAATAAAGCGAGATGAGCGCCGCAACCCCAGAGTCAGTCATGACTGGACCTAATGGTCAGGGGTCCCTTTACCTTTTTTATCATACATCTTGGGGTTCAGCACATATACACAAAAATTGTGTGTAACCAAAATTACCTTTTTTCCCCTAGTTGGCTTTTGACTGGCAAAGGGAGGGAAACCCGATGGGGAGACCTTTTCCAGTGTCTCCATTGCCTTCCTTCATGTTATGGCTTTTTTGCTCATCTATAACATGACTTGTGGTTTGTTGAGCAAACCATGGTTTTTAAAAAAGCCATATGGTTGAGCATTATGGGCAAATGCAGTCACTGTGGCACAAAACTGACGTTGCACATCCTAATTCTGCCACACAGTTATTAAAAGCCCGGAAAATTCATTCAGGCTAGGCCAGCCTTTGCTTTCATACAGCCAACCATCTCATGGGGCAGAGTGAGGGGATGGCTTCAATGTGTGGAGGCCCTGGCCAATTCCCAGTCATTCTTCCTGAGCCTGCCATGCAGCACACTTCACAGTAGTTGGCTTCTGAACTTGTAATTGGAGAAGGGCACCATCTTGTCCTTTGCCTCAGCAAAATGTCTTGGGCTGGCACTGCATGTAGCCCAGCACGATATGAGCTAAAGGACTTGCCACACACCCCTTTCTTCAAAATATGATTGTCCGGTGTTCATATATTAGTTCCCCTGAGAATGTAACTCCAGGCATTCCAAGCCATAGTTCTCTCACCAAGGCCCCATGAGTGTAAAAGAAAAGAGTAACCTGGTAATGTGGATATAGGACCAAAGGGAAAACAACTCAATTGCTTCAATTAATTTCAAAACAAAACAAAGCACAATACATTTCTCTCTCTACCCAGACAGAATTAATCAGTCCTCACCTATACACTTATGGGGTGTGTGTGTGTGTGTGTGTGTGTGTGTTTGTGCGCGCGCGCACACACACACTACCCCTGATCTGGTAGAAGTTGTATGAAAAAATGAAACGAGATTCCAGCTCTGAAAATGATATGACATTGTAATGAAGGTCGTTCATTTTATTTTACTATTTTTTAATGGCTTCAATGCTGTTGTTTTCCTCCATGATCTTTCAGCTCACTGTGGCAGAAAACAAATTTTAAGTCCAGGGTGTACCAACAGTTAACACAGCGTAGTGCCACAAAACATAATGCCACATTGTCACTGAAGTGTATACCAAGGCAGGAACACAGATACAACTGTTTCAGATCTAGATACCAATAGGCCTGAAGGTATCCTATATCCTATATAGAAAGAGCAAACCCATTGTCCCTGTGTGAATCCTTGCACAGCTTGAGAAAACTTCAAGCTTTGCAGAAGCAGAATTTTAGAAAAATAAAACTAAGGGGGAAGATTTTAAAAAACCCAATTTGGAATAAGCATGCTCAGTAGTCTGATAACAAAAACAACAAATGGCAGGAAGGTAAGGGAACAGAGTGATCTGGGAAAGGGTATGGCTGGCTGGCTGGAACCTTGAACAAGAACACTCCATACCACATTTGTTGCAGCTCCCACTTAAACCAAGCCTGGAGGTAACATCCCCACCCGCACCCACCCCAAATGCTGAAAAGGGGCACAGTTGTTGACTGTGTATGCCGTAATTTCTTTTGTATTACATTGCACATGGGGGAAAGCAAAACAGGCATTGGAGAGTTTTGTTGCACTTCAGAACCCTGTGAAATCTCTTGTTCAGAGAAATGACAGTGGAACAAGATGTGAACTTGAGACAAAAGTGGAAGTTGATGGAGGGATAAAAGAAATGAATGTGCACAGCACGAGCAACAAACAACAGCAGCAGCAGCTCTTACACCATTTTAATTTTTTTTAAAATGATTGTTCCTCTCCCGTGTTGGAATGATTTATTGGTGGCTTTTGAAATCACAGTGCCCTTAAATGAGTGATGAAAACTGACTTAGATCCAGACCCACCACCCCACAAACATCAGGGCCTAGTCCACCCCCTCAGGTTGGAGGGCAAAAGACAAAATTCCCTGCTTCTTTTTGCCAGCTTGATTCAACTCTCCCCTAAGTTGTTTCAAGATGACTGTGAGCGAATTTTAACTCACTATTATTTCTGGAATGTGATCTCAGCCACACCTGGACATTTGCACACACGCTGCGGAAAATACTGTTCGACTTAATATGGAAATGACAAACAAATTTGCAGACCCTGCTGACGTGCAAAAATCTCTGGAACACATCTTTGTTTACAAAGATCCCTTGCCCAGAGTCACCAAATGGTTTGCATTGAGTTATTAAGCAGTGTGCGTGAGAGAGAGTTAAATAATCATCTCTTTTTCAGATTGGCTTCTCTGCGGTACAGCTTTCAAAGTCCTTTAACAAACCTCTCCCCATTGGTCAGGCACACTTTGCACAGTCGGTGAATGTCAAGGCCTGAATAAGCACTGGTCAAATAATATTCACTAAACACCTTTAAAATTTGTTTTCCTTTTCAGGAGGCAGTCAAATAATTGTGCCTTGCTTTTAAAAAAAAACCAATCCACAAAAAGACCATTTGCCTGCTTTGCAAAGCTAAACGATGTAGAATGTTGGCTTTTTAATGTGATTTCTGTGGCTCCTTTGTCTTCCAATCTGTAGTGTTGAGACACTTTCTATGAAATGGCCCATTTAATATAAGCTGTGCAGGTGTGACCTCTTCATGTTCCTTCTGAAAGAATTGAATTCTTTCCTTTATCCCTCCCAAGACCCAAATTTTGTCCTTTTACTGAAACTTTCACAATTAGATTCCCTCAACCCTTGGTTAAAATGGGATCCTCTGAAGAGTATATCCAGACAGGAGGAAAGGCTTGCTGTTTTCAAAATGAAATTGGCTCCTTTTCAGACCACCTATTCAATTTGAGCTCTTTTTCCATTTCTTGTGGCCATGTTCAATTCAAGGCAATACTACACTGGCTCATGGATGCTGATGAGAGTGGGAGACATGGGAACATAGGAACCTGCCTTACACCAAGACATTCATCTAGCTCAGCATTGCTTACACTGAACTGCAGCAACTCCCCAAGGTTTTAGACAGGGGTCTCTGCCAGTCTAAGAAATCCCAAGGCTTGAACCTGGGGCCTTCTGCATGCAAACAGATGCTCTACCATTGAGCTACGGCCTTTCCCGTAACTACAGCCTTTTCCATTGCTATAGTGCTTCTTGTTCTGCCAGATATCTCGTGTTTATCTATAGGAACTACCATGGGACTATTGATGATAAGGGCACGGTTTTTCCCCCAGCCGGAACCCACCAGACCTCAGTTCTAGCACCTCTCAGGTGGGAGCCATTGCCATTCAAAGAGAACAAGGGAGACGTTCATGGTGAGTTCCGGTACCTCTTTTTCTAGAAAAATGGCACTGGATAAGGGCCATAGTGCTGGACTGAGGACACAAAGTGGCTTTATACTGGGTCAGACCACCAGGCTATTGGGTGCAGTATTGTCTATACTAGGGCTGGAGAACCTTAGGTCAGGGGGCCAAATGTAGCTCTTCAGCCAGCACGGCAAACAGAGCCACACATTTGACACACAATTCATTTTAGATATCTCATTAAATAAAGGAACCCCCCCCCAAAAAAAATGCATTGAACTCTTGGTGTCATGGCTAAAATTCCCTGTATTTACACTTCTTACACAATAATGCAATACCATGTACAGCGGCAACAACAGGGATGATGATGATGATTAAGTTTTCAGCAGCAACCTTGAGAAAATCACCGTGTGCCAGCATGACCAATGGCCATGAATGATGGAAACTGAGCTCCAAGATATATGGAGGGCACCAGGTTGTCCTCCCTGTGATAGGGACAAGGGCTGAGAAGGTGAAATGCCTATTGTGCTTTTCCCCTCTCCCCCTAAGCAGCCATTGTGTTCCACTTTCAAGCAACGGTAGTGCTTAAAACATCTTTGTCACCACAAGAAAGTTACTTCGGCAGTGTAAATGGCATAATATAGATGCAAAGTATTATATCACCTAAGACTGAAGCTTTATAGTCATAAAAATGAGATATTCCAGAAGGGTAAAGAAGAGCAAGCTGGGAGTTGGAAATGTAGATAATGAAAGATAGCACCATATATAAAGGTATGTACACATTTAAATAATCACATCTGCTTCCTTTTTCTATGTAGGAATAAAGGATCATGGTGCTATTATGATTTTATACAGCACACAGGCACTCAGCTCAAAATAGGGCCTTTAGCTGGAAGGGCTGTAGTTTAGTGATAGAGCACTGGCTTTCAGGCCAACTCAGAGGTCTAGAGATGCCTGGATCACTTCCAGCTTTGGAGTGCAGTGCCCAGCTGTCAAATCTGACCCACTGGGGGTTGGAGAGAAGATAAGAATATGGACTACTGGCAAGAAAAAATAAATCTCAACCCCTAGTTTATAGCTGACCTGGGAGGGCATGCCCATCACAACCTAATTTTGTGTCATCAAACCAATATATTTTCTTTTTAATGTTTATGAAGGTGTTTAATGCTTTATTGTGACAAAATGTGGATCAGCTAACAAAAAATATGGCTTTTATCAAATCAAGTGCCCCAAAATTAAAAAGTTTCCAAATCTAAGGCCTCCTTTGAGCTTGAGGTTCCAGCTAAATGGGGCCCTCCTGAGGTCCCCTCATAGCGACCCTGCCTCTTTTGTATGTAGGATGCCCTAGGTTAAGCAGAACGTCAAAAACTGACGTTCTATTTAACATATATCTATATCTCCAAAAATTGGACTTCAGATCTATCCTATATCCTAAAAACCAGATCTAACCTATATCCTAAAAACCTAAATGAACAAAGGCATCTTTAGCTGTCACCTAAAAATCATAGAATCGTAGAATTGGAAGGGACCCTGAGGATCATTTAGTCTAACTCCCTGCAATGCAGGAATGCAATGCAGCTGTACCTTAAGGGGATCAAACTTACAACCTTGGCATTATTAGCACCATACTATAACCAGTTGAGCTATCCAGACTTCTACATCAACAGATGCCCTTCTCGGGGCAGGGGGGAGTTTAAGAGTCCAGGTGCCACCAACAAGAAGGGAACTTCAGAACAGAGCTAGAACTGTCGACTTACTAGCTGTCACATATAACGGATGCCCTGCCATTGCTGACAGAGGCTGGATTTCCTCTGTCAAGTATACAGTAGGTAACGGGGATTTAACAGACCACTGCCAGTCTCCTGGTCTGTTCTGCAGACTGTTACAAATGTCCTGTATTCACTAGACAGCGATGCACATTCACTGATTTCCATTTGACTCACTTTAAAGCAACTCCTGCTTTAGGATTTAAATGTCTCCTAGTTATTTGTAATACGTTCGTTTTGTGCTTCGTGGTTCCTTCCTTTCCTCGGGACTCTTCCACCCAACCCTCACTTCCATTGACCTATAGCATATATATAATTTTTCTGTCTCTTGCAATTGGAGCAGCTAGGAGGGATTTATCTGTGCTTTCTGACTCACTCGACACTTTAATCCGATCAGGAATGTGCTAAACTGGTGCTGGAGATATGATGGTCTTAAAACTCTTATGGCATTAGATTTTATTTGAATTTTACTGACGAGCAGGCTTGTCTGATTGCGTTCAGGCCAATTACTTCATAATGTCTGTTGGATTGCCATTACTATGCTTTTTGATTGCTCTGGCAAGGACTTCTCCTGTGAACTTCTTAATGTCATTTACTTAAAGGACAATCCCAAGAATTGCTCAGCCCCACTGGCATTCTTAGTGGTTGTTGCAGAATCAGCCCCTTCTCCATCAGCTCTTTTCTGCCACACCAGGAGGTACCAACTCCTAGGGTCCCTGCTCTTTGGGGGGTGCCCAATAATGTTCAGAATGATCAGGGGCAGAGAAGGTCAAGCATGGAGCCGAGCGTGGGGCAGCTTCAGTGACTGACTCTTCCTCCTCCTGCTGCAGAGGGGAAGGCGGCAGCCAGTGGCAGAAGAAGGAAGAGGTGGTCAATCGTGGAGCTGAGCATGCAACACTGCAGTTTCAGTGGCCAGTGGCTCCTCCTGCTCCTGCTCCTCCTTTCCTCCTCTTGGAAAGATGGGGAAAACAGTCCCTGGCCAGTGGGGGCATCAGGAGGAGGACGAGGATGGGGCTGAGCCAGAGAGAGGTGTAGGCATCAGCCACTGAAGCTGTGCTGCCACCACATTTGACTCCGCCCCCTGGCTACTCCCGACATCTTGACATCACACACATGTCATTGGCCCATCCAATCTTCTGTGTAATTTGGGGCCTCTGCCACTTGAGGTCCTGATTTAGCACATGAGGTTGTTTATTTCCAAACCACCCCCTGCTACCCCACACCTGGTGTCAGATGTGATGCCAGGTATGGGTCAGGTAAAGATTTGGCAGCAAAGGAAGGAAATGAGAGCATAATTTGTGCTCCCAAATATTCCTTGGCAGTCAGAGGTTGCTGACAGCACCAATCAGCTCATCAGCACTGACAGTGAGCCCCTTTCAAGTTGTCTGTTTGCGGGCTCACTTTGAGATTTTTTCCTCTGCAGATTGGCTTTGTAGACTGCTATGCAGAAGAATAACATCTGTTTGCAGGTGCAATTTATATTCAAGCAAAGAGACAAAGCTGGGCTTGCTGTCAGGACCAAACATCGAGCCCCTTGGAAGTTGCCACCTGATGTCCTAATGATACCTAGTAACACCCAGAGGCTCACAGGTTCCCCGTTTCTCTCCTATGGATTCATTGCTAATAGATTTGGGGCGGTGAAAAGACACTCACTTTACAGAGAACACTGGGAAAACATAGGTAATTGAAATTTATTGAGATGGGGAGAGGGACCAATTACTTCTTTTCTTGCCATCATATGAAGTGACTTTTCTAACTTCCTTGAGCTTCTATTATGCTGTTTGTAAACCTAAAGCAAAATGTTTAATTCACGCTTTTTTCATTTAGAAAACCTGTAAAAAAAATGTTACAGAGGAAAATTGCCAAGTAAATTGCTAATTAAAAAATAAATAAATCTGGAAGACAACATGTAGGAGGGAATATGATTCCCATCCCAAGAAAACATGCTGGAGGGCCTTCTTGTACTAAACTCTGCAGAGAGGTGTAGCGAAAACAGACAGGGGAACAATAGTGTGAAGTTTCTGAATCCTGTCTGTGAGGTGTAGCGTGACTAAGCAACGCCTACTGTCTCATCAGCCTTTCTGAAGGTTTGAGACAGACACCTGAGTCACTGGCACTTGCTTGTTGCTTAAGTGCTTGCTGAATTACACGCATCCTGGGGCAATCTTATTAAATATGTCAGGTTTCTGAAGAGCTTAAGAAGACGACAACAAAATGGCATTTTATTTAAATGTTCTAATCGAGAATTTCATCAACCTTTTGAGATTCATGGACATCATTGGGTGCCATTCCCTCTGCCATTTCTCTCCCCGCTATCATCATCATTAGTATTTTTCCAATTTCTATACTGCCATTCATCTGCAGATCTCAGGGCAGTTTACAATATGAAAACACAAAAACACATACCATGATAACAAATAATAACAACCCCTGCCCCCATACAGTTTAAAAGGCCATAGATTGTGTAATTAGCCAAAGGCCTGGGAGAAGAGGAGTGTTTTTGCCTGGCACCTAAAGATATGTAATGAAGGCGCCAGGCAAGCCTCCCTGAGGAGAGCATTACACAAATGGGAAGCCACCACAGAAAAAGGCCCGTTCTCATGTTGCCACCCTCTCGCCCTCTCGCAGAGGAGGCACACAAATAAGGGCCCCAGGTGTTGATTGCATGGTCCAGATCAGTTCATATGGGGAGAAATGGTCCTTGAGGTTTAGTGGTCCTGGGCTGTTTAAGGCTTTATTTTCAGCACTTTGAATTGGGCCCAGAAACAAATTGGCAGCCAGTGCACTCGGGCCTATATTGACATTATATGCTTAAACCATCTTGCCTCAATGAGCATCCTGGCTATGGAATTCTGTACCAGTTAAAGTTTCTGCACCATATTCAGAGGCAGTCCTATGCATAAAGTGTTGTTGTAATCTAGTTTAGAGGCTACAAGAGCATAGACAACAGAAGTTAGGCTATCCCTGTCCAGGGTTGGGATTGTGCTTTTCTTAGCCTTGCCCTTCAAGATCCTTTGAATCAGAGACTTTGGAAATTGAATCTG